AATGAAGGAATTGTGGTATCTGTCCTGGCGCCCACCACATTTGGTTGTGCCCCAGGGGCTCCAGAAAAAGGGAAGTTACAAGTTACCCAGACATTTCAAGAATGTGTTATTTTAGATTAAAAAAGACAGACCAGCCGAAACCAGTTTGGCTCAGTGGTAGAGCCTCGGTCTGTGGACTGAAAGGTCCCGGGTTCGATTCCGGTCAGGGGCATGTACGTTGGTTGCGGGCACATCCCTGGTAGGGGGTGTGCAAGAGGCAGCTGGTCGATGTTTCTCTCTCATCAACGTTTCTAGCTCTCTATCTCTCCTTTGCTCTCTGTTAAAAAATCAATAAAAAATGAATCTTTAAAAAAAAAAAAAAGACAGACCGGCTCAGTTAAGGTAAAGGTTGACCTTGTCAGGGAAGATACCTGCCTAGGAGGTGACTACCCACCATCACTGCTTTAGTTAAAGTTTAATTTCAGACCATCCTTTAGGTCTGAGTCTGCAAGACCGCCACGGAGGCCTCCCCCTCCCCCCCCCGAGCTGTCAGGGCAGCATGTGGCCCCTTCCGTCCACACTTGCTGAGTCCCCCGGGGGCATGAGGTCCTGTAGGAAGCGCTGTTTCTGTGGAATGAAACCCATTCCCGAGGTCTCATTTCCCTCAGCCCGCCAAGGACACAGTGCAGCTGGGCCTTCAGCAGAGCTGGAGCCAGAGCCAGGCCCGGAGTTTCTGCTCCACGTGGGAGCGGAGTCCAGTCCAGTTCCCAGGTGCAGTCCGTTAGTCCACTGTGTGCGGGTCCACGTGGCCGCGGGCCACACAGGCAAATGCACTAGAGCCAAGAGCAGCAAGAGCAGCTAGAGCAACAGAGAGGGAGCCCTTGTTCCCACATTTTGTGGCTTGCCGTGGCTCCGCCTGTTCTGGCCAAAGACCTCTGTTCCCAGGTGTGAATGACAGGCACCCTCCCTGGTCACCCCAACTTCCCTGCCCGTGGGCCCATCTCCCCCCTGGTGGGTTCCTCCCCCCAGCGATCTGCAGGGACTGGGCCCGTGGCTCCCTGCGGGGTGTGAAGTGGCAGCTTTCTGGGGAAGCTGCCCGGATTGAAAAGGAAAATGGTGGTGGTGGCTGGGGGTGAGGGCAGGGTGGGGGGCGGGGAGTGACGGACCTGGGCAGAGCTGGGGGACCCTCAGGGTCCGCCCCGGGGGGGGGGGGATGTATAGGTCAGAGCTCAGTTCAGGCTGTGGATCTCTCTTCTGAAGTTTCATATGGCAGGGACAGCTGTGCACCCTCACAAGCCTGGGGACCAGTATGGGTCAAAGAGTGGAAAAAAGAACCCCATAAGCCAACCTGGAAGGGACCTTATCCAGTCATACTGATCACCCCCTCAGCTCTCAAAGTTGCAGGACTGAACACCTGGACCCACCACTCCCGGGTAAAAGCAGCTCACCAGCTGGACAACCAGCATCGGAGTGGAAGGTGACCTCTGACCTGAACTACCCCCATGGATCAACTTCAAGCCTGGATCTCCTTCTCCCCTCCTATCTGGATAATTATCGTTTTTTGGTCTTTTCTAACCATTTTATTCTGTCTTCATACAAGTGTCGCCAGAACCCCAGACTGATACCGGGAGAAGAATTTCTCTGCCTTTGCTACTCCGATGACCCCCTTGGGGAAGATGGGGAAGACTCAGGAGACTGAACCCTCCCCCCCCAACCCCAGGGCCCCACCACAGCTCACTTGGGTGGAGCCTGGGGGACCTTCAGGGGCCGCCACAGGAGGAGATGTGAAGGTCAGAGCCTCCCCACAAACTCAGTTCAGGCCTTGGACCCCGAGTACCCTGGACCAGAGAATGCTCAGCCAGCTTTCCTCCTCGGAAAGCTGGCTGAGCATTCTCCGGGAATCTGCCACAGATGGCATGCCTCTGTCTCCTCCCCACTTTGCTCCTTTCCTCTTAATAAGTAGCTGATGGCAGCGGCGTCGCTGTCACCCAGCTCTCCTGGGCCCCATGCTGGGCTGACCCTGCACCCAGTGTGTCCAGGAGTGTCACGCGCGCAAACGCAGTTACACAGAAGGAAGAAGACAGGGAGAACTGTGTTACTCCAAGTGCACAGAAGTGCATGTTACTGTCTCTACTCCTCATCTCATCTGTGCTCAAGGTATTATTATACCCATTTTATGAACAGAAAAGATTCAGAGTCGGGAAAGGTTTAGATTTTACTCAAAGCCACCCAATGAGCTAATGTTAGCCTTAGTAATAAAAGCCCGTTTTAGTGATTGTGGGAGCCATGCAGCCAGACCCAGTGCCACAGAGGGGAGGAGGGAAGCAATGAAGAAATGGCTGCTAGCTTGGACTCCCTCACAGCAGCGGTCAAACTCCTGGCCCGAGAGAGCCACCTGCAGATGTCTGCCTGGGGTGGACAGTGAGCTACGATAAATGGCCTTCCATATCTAAAGATGTATCAAGGGGCAGAGAGATAACTTTGAGGGTGTTAGTGTAAAAAAAAAAATTCAAACCTGTAAAGAATTTTTGTGTTTATTTGAGCCAAACTGTCTACAATTACTGGGAAGCAGGTCAACGTATTGAGATAGTGCCCTGGGGCAGGGCGGTTTCTCACCTGCGCTCACAGGACTAGGAGATGCAGGTGGGTCACATGATATCCACTGGTGACAGATGAGGGAGGCGAGAGAAAGTGAGGGAGAGAGGGAGGGGAAAGAGGGGGACCTCTAGGTTGGATAAAAAGTAAAATAATAGACACATACTTTTTTTTTTAACAATAAAGGAATTTGTGGTATCTGTCCTGGTACCCAGGGAATTTGGTTGTGCCCTGAGGGGTCTGGAAAAAAGGGAAGTTACAAGTTACCCAGACATTTCAATGATATGTTATCTTAGATGCAAAAAGACAGCCAGCTCTTTAAACTAAAGGTTGACCTTGTCAGGAGATACGGGCCTAGGACATGACTACCCACCATCTTGCTGTTAGTTAAAGTTTAATTTTGGACATCCTTTGCAAGACCGCCACGCAGGCCTCCCCTGAGCTGCCAGGTCAGCATGTGGCCCTTTCGTCCATAGAGCCGGAGGCCTGTTTGTTAAGTCTTCGGGGTCTGTGCCCTGAATAAACAGGGGACAGGCCGCCTTAGAGGGCGTGAGCCTTCGCCACTTGAGTGTGTGAGCACAAGTGACTTCCCTATTTGCCAGGGATGCCCCGAACCAAGCAGCCTAGTGAGAGGCTGGCCTGGATGGCTTCCCACACCTCTGACCAGGGGCCTTGCAGGCCAGGCCAGCTTCTGCCGGAACTGTCTTCAGCAGGCGGCTTTGGATCCGAACACGCCCTGACACTGGAAGCTGTATTCTGGCTTCCACGTCTGGGTGCTTCCTTTCCAATGACCGGGGAGGGGGGTGGGCAGGCTGAGGTGGAGTGGGCGCCTCTAGTTGCATCAGCTCTGGTCTGACCTCTGATGTTTACCTTCTTTGTTCCAGATAAACAAAACACACAAAAACTCATTTCCTGGCTTAAAAAAACAACAGGGCAGCCAGGTAGGCCAGGGGAGCTTGGGCTTCTGTGAAGCAGACATGGAGATGGGGGGAGGGGAGAGCTCCCTAAAAGCCCTCCTCCTCGGTGGGCTCAGAATGGCTCCGATTCCAGCAGGCCACCCTGGGGCATCGCCTGACCTTGTAACAAAGGTCATAGGCAAACCAGTCTGGAGCACCTACTGCAGACCCAGCCCTGTTAAGGACAGTGGTTACCTAGCTATGTGGTGAGTTCAGGCCCGTGTTGAGTTTTACCCTCTGTTGTGTCCTTTTACTTAGAAAAAACTGAAAGTCACAGAGCTGTTAGCGCAGCTCTCAAGCCTGCCAGCCTGGTGTGGTGAAGGTGGGCCTTCTGCAAAGCAGTCAGCACAGGGGGTGACCTGCTCAGGACTGGTGGGTGCTAGGGTCAGAAGGGAGAGCAGGGAGCAGTCTCCATCAGGAAGCAGCTGGCGTTGGTTAAGTCCCATCCCCAGGGGCTGGGTGATGGGGCAAAATATGGGAGTCTCTGAAGTCTCTTTTCTTATGTACATATGTAATGCCCGGCTACAAAAGAGGGTCTCCTGGGATCCAGTCATCTAAAATCCACTTTTCTCAACTCTCCTCTTCCGCAGCCACCAGCTGTTCCTGGATTCCGAGGTCCCCCCAATTCCCTCTTGCTAGTCTGCCCTACACCACACTTTGCATGCCTGGCATTTATCCCTTGGTACTCTTTGCCCCGTTTTTTCATTAGTACTTATCCAAGTCATAATCCATTGTTCGTTTTTGTCTCATATTCCGTTAGGAGTCAACGTGGGCCTGAATCTTGCGTTGTTGGCTACTGTATTGCCGCAAATCCCTGGTGAGTGGATGAGAGAATGAGTGAAGGAACGAAGGAGTGGAGGAGGTCTCTGGCGGGGATCAAGATCGTGGAGGCTTGGGGGTGGAGGCCGGTGGGCCGGAGCAGTAGCCTTGGCCGCAGGCTACCGGGGGTGCGCCGCCTGCACCGCCTCTGGGCAAACGCAGGTCTCAGAAGGGGGCGGTGACCGAGCCTGGGCCAAGGCCGCGGCCGCGGGGGCTGCGCGGGAAGCTACTTATACCTGCGACCCGCAGCCGCTGGCCTCTGGCCTCGCCGCCGCCAGCAAGGACCGGACCCCAGGTAGGCTGGCAGCGGGAGCCGGGACCAAAGGGACGAGGCGGGAGACCCAACCCCTGCGGACACTGCCGCAATTCCGCCTCGGAACCGGCGGTCTCTGCAGCGTATAATCCCGGGACTTGTAGTTCTCGGTTCCCCAAGAGGCCGGCTCGCGAGCTCCAGGTAAGTGGTGCGTCGCAGGGACGAGAAACTACATTTCCCAGGAACCCCGGAGAGGTTGGGGTCACCGGGAAAGCGCCTCGGCAGGCGGCGCTTCCCGGGCGCAATGGGGCCGGTCCTGGGGCAGGTGGTTGCGAGGCCCCCGCGCGGTCCCTCCAGAGGCGGTCCCCAGGGCAGAGGATCTGCCGGGAGCAGCGCCTATGAGCAGGCCGGTGGCGGGGCCCGACTGCTGCGGAGGCCTGGGCAACATCGACTTCAGGCAGGTACTGTCCGGGTGGGCCGGTGGGGAGCCGGGGCCGGGACCGAGACGGCCCACGAAGCCTGCGGCCCGCGGGCGCCGCCTCCAACGCCTGGTGGGCGGGCCCACCGTCACCAGGCAACGGGGGCGGGGCGGGGCGAGTGGCTGGGGAGAGCGTGTGCGCGTGCGCGGGAGGGCGGCGCTGCGGCGGCGCGGCCGCTCGGAGCCCAGCGCTGCGTGGCGGGTCTGCGCCGGGATGAGGCTGGAGCCTCTGAGGCTGAGCCTCAGCGTGAGCGTGAAGCGGCCTGTGCGTGGGGCGGCGGTGGGGCCGCCCATGCGGGCTCCCGCGGCGCGGGCTGCGGACGGCGGCCCCCTCGCGGGCGGGCCGCGCTGGCCGGGGCGGCGGCCGGTGTCTGGCTGCTCGCCGGCCCGCGGCGCCTTTGCAGCCCCGGGCGGGAGCGCGCCTTCCGGGCGTCTGCCCGGGCTCCCAGTTCCGGCGGCTTCCCTCTCCTGCGTCCTCCCTCCCACCTGCTGCCTCTGAGGCCTCCCTTCTCCCTCAGTCAGCCCTCCCCGAGGCCGCCCACCCCTCCGCCCGCCGCGGAGACAGCCTGTGTGGGGGACGGAAGCGCCTGCTCTCACCAGCTTTCCTTCTAGTGAGGGTCTCAGGAAGCCGGAAGCACTTTCTGAAGAGATAAAACGGGTCGGTGCCGCGGGGGGAGTGTTGAGACCCCGGGCAGGTGCAGTGGTGGAGGGCAGGGCGGAGCTCGGAGGGAGCTGGCCTGTGCTCTGCAGAAGGTGGTGGGAGCAGGAGAGAGGGTGATGCCTGTTTTTTATTTGTTTTTTAGTAAACTCTTCCTTAAGAATAACATGCAGCTGGAGGAGGTCACGGTTGGGTTCCTGGTCAGAGCACACGCCCGGGTTGTGGGCTCCCGTCTTAGTGTTGGGCCTGCAGGAGGCAGCCAGTCAATGATTCCTCTCATAGTTGGTGTTTCCATCTCTGTCTCCCTCTCCCTTACTCCCAGAAATCAATAAAATGTATTTCTTAAAGAAAGGAGTAGCTGCCCAAACCGGTTTGGCTCTGTGGACTGAAAGGTCTCAGGTTCGATTCCGGTCAAGGGCATGTACGTTGGTTGCAGGCACATCCCCAGTAGGGGGTGTGCAGAAAGCGGCTGGTCAATGTTTCTCTCTCATCGACGTTTCTAGCTCTCTATCCCTCTCTCTTCCTCTCTGTAAGAAATCAATAAAATATATTTAAAAAAAAAAAAAAGAGAGAAAGAAAGGAGCAGCTGCAGGTGGACGGATGGTAGAGCGTGCGGGCACGCTCAGGCACTGTCCCAGAGTGACCAGCCGGGGACGAGCACCAGATCCAGGGCATCAGCCGGAGAGCCGCCACGGAGGGTGAGCCCACAGAGGGGATCTTAGGATGGTCCTTGGTCAGTGCCTCTGAGCGTCCCAGACACACGTGGTCGGTGGCGGGGGATCTGCTCCCGGACACACATGGTCAGTGTGTTTCCTACCACAGCACGGCGCAGATGGAAGTGCGCTTGGAATGCCCACAGGACCTCAGCAGTGCCCGCCGGGCTGGGTGCGTGTGAAAGAGTGGACTGCAGGAGGGCCAGCCCTGCCCTCAGGTGTCTGCGCAAGGCCTATAGTCTAGACTTAGAAGCAGGAGGTGGCCCTGGCCAGTGGGCTCAGTGGGTAGAGCACCGCCCTGCAGGTCAAAGGGTCTTGAGTTCAATTCCCAGTCAAGGTTGTATACCTGAGGTGCAGGTTGGATCCCCGGCCTGGTTGGGGTACGTGTGGGAGGCAACTGATGTGTCTCTCCTCCACTCCTGCCTTCCTTCCACCTCCGTCTCCCACTCAAAAATCAATGGGAAAATGTCCTTTGGTGAGGATTAACCAGTACACACACATACACACACACACACACACACACACACACACTTTAGAAGCAGAGCAGGTGAGGGTCAGCCCTGGGCGGCCTTGCCCAGAGCCCGAGGCTGTGAGCTGGCCAGCCGCAGTGACCCTAGCTGACTAAGGTTCAGTTTTTCACTCCTGCCCTTGTTGGTACAGTTAAGCTTCCTATTGCCAAGAGATTTTTCTTCAAAAAAATAAACTAACACATAAATGTATTTTATGTGGTAGCTCTCCTCCTCCTCAGTCAAAACCCGGTTGTAAAAGCTGCCGGTCCCCGGCCTGAGGGAGCTTCAGGGCTCCTCCTCAGCCAGGGCCGCTGGCTGCGGGGGCCGGAGCACTGGCGGCTGTCTAGAAGGAATATGTGCCACCTGATTTAAACTTCTCTAGTAGCTGCATTTTAATAAAGTGATGAGGTTCCTTTTAAAAAATACACGAATGTCACAGCAGCTTTATTCATAATAGCCCCAAACTGGGAACAACCAAAATGTCCTTCCATGGATTATTAAACAAAAATGTGCCCGCACACATCGACCTGGCCAGTGTGGCTCAGTGGTTGAGCATCGACCTATGAACCAGGAGGTCACAGTTCGATTCCCAGTCAGGTCACATGCCTGGATTGTGTGCCCGATCCCCAGTGAGGGGCGTGCAGGAGGAAGCCAATCAACGGTTCTCTCGATGAGATTACATTTTATTTGACCCGGGATGTAAAAATATGACTCACGTAGCACTAAGTGCTCAGTGACCACATGTGGCCGAGCAGCGCGGCTGTTGGGTGCAGTACCCTTAGCCAGCTCTCTGAGCCTGTTCCAGTGGTGCAGTCTTGGCACCTGCTGGGGTGTGGCATGTACCTGCTGCAGCTTCATGGACCAAGGCTACCTGGGATGCAGAGTTGCTCCTCCGCTTGGCAGCAAGCTGACTGTTGAGTGGGTGGGAGCAGGGACCGCCAACCTGCTGTCCTTAGGTGGAGCACCCCCGGGACTCAGAAGATTGCTCCAGTGGGGTCCAGGGCTGCTGGCTTGGAGGGCCGGGGGGGTGGGGGGGCTGTATGCGCACATCAGGTCCCTGTTCCCCGAGAGCAGACGGGTGGCGGCACTCTGTAGGTGTCCCGGGGCCCTCCAGTTTCTTGGTCTGTAGAACGGGGATAGTAGTGGGACTCTGGCGAGGACCAAAGTGGGGTCAGGATGCAGAGGGGCTTCATACAGAGTGCCCCCCCCCCCTCAGGCAGCCTCCAGAAGGCAGAGCCCTGGATTCCAGAGGCGTTGAGGCTGCTTGTGATTGGAGGCTGCTGTGGCAGATTTGGAATGTGTTGTTTGTCTTTCGGTGCCAGATGCTTGCCTGCGATACAAAAGTTTTTGTTTTTTTAAAAAATATATATTTTATTGATTTCAAAGAGGAAGGGAGAGGGAGAGACAGAAACATCAGTGTTGAGAGAGAATCATGGATCGGCTGCCTCCTGCACACCCCCCACTGGGGATCAAGCCCATAACCCAGGCATGTGCCCTTGGCCAGAATCAAACCCAGGACCCTTCAGCCTGCAGGCCAATGCTCTATCCAATGAGCCAAACCAGCTAGGGCAATACAAAAGTGTTTTTAAAAGTCTTTTGGTGTCATCCCTCTTCTAGAATAAATGCCAGGCCTTTTATTGGAAGACTTAATTTGCGAGGTTCTCAGGACATGGTTTGGATCAGAAGTATTCTTTGGGTCAGAGTCAAAGCAGCTGGCCTGGGGCTCTCGGCCTGATCTAGGGGAGTCGCTTACACTTAGGGGGCCCGTTTCTCCTGCCTCTATGGAGTCCACCCGGCCTTTCCTCGCTCTGCTGATGGTCAGACCAGCTCTGCACTCCCGGAGGCTCCTGTGGTCTGACACGCTGTCCTGTGTGTGGACGCGGCTTATGTTGGTGGGCATGTTCCTAAGGAATATGGTTTGTAGAGTTCTTGTAGTGTCTGTCTGGCTTCCCTTCGTGTACGAGGGCAGTGCTCCATTCTGTATCCCGGGGGAGTCTGTGGACGGGTGCTACTCCTTCTGGAAGTGTTAGGTAGGGTTTGTCCAATGAAACCTTCGGGTCTGGAGCTCTCTTTTTTGGAAGGTTCCAAACTGGGTTCAGCTCCTTCAGTAGCTGAGGGGCTTTGTCTGCACTGGATGTCGCGGCTGTGGCTTCAGGACTGGCCGTTTCACCCGCGTTGCTGGACTGTGGTGTGAGCGTGTTCTCGGGGCCCCGTTACCCCACAATGTTTGAGGCCTGTGGGACGCTCCACTTCCATTCCTGGTGTGGTCATTTGGGCCTTTTTTCCCTTGGTCAGTATGGCTAGCAGTGTATTGGTTTTATTTTTTCCCAAAGAACAAGTTTTGGGTTTATTCCCTCCATCTCTATTTTTGTTTTCAATTTGATTGATTTGGGGTCTTTTACTTTTTCTTTCTGCTTCCTTTGAGTTTAATTTACTCCTCTACCTCTAACTTTTTATGGATAAAGCTTATGCTACTGACTTGAGACTTTTTTAAATTAATATCCTATATAATAAAAGGCTAATATGCAGATTGACTGAATGGCGAACGATCAGTTGCTGTGACACACACTGACCACCAGGGGGTGCATCACTCAGTCAGAAGCCCTGAGCTGGGCTCACGGCTGGTGAGGGCAGCGGTGGTGGTGGGAGCCTCCCGGGCCTCCAAGGCAGCGCTAAGGATGTCCGACTGACAGCGTAGGCGGGAGCAGGCCTAAGCTGTCAGTCAGACATCTCCCGAGGGCTCCCAGACTGCAAGAGGGTGCAGGTTGGGCTAAGACCCCCCACAGTGCACAAATTTCATAAGTTATAGATTTCCATCTTAGCCCTGTATCCCACAATTTCTGATACTTTGTATTCTTATTCAGTTCAAAACACTTTAAATTTCCTCTTAACCCATGGATTATTATACTTTAGTATCTTTCTGTTATTGATTTCTAGTGTAATTCTGTTACAGATTAATAACATACTTTTATGCTTTCTAATTCTTTTAAGTTTAGTATCTGTTGTTTGGCCCAGAATGCGTGCTCGGCACGTGTTTTCTGTGGGGTTCTGTGGGCACCGTGTCCAGTGCTGGTGGTGGCTCAGGGCCCCCGCCCCGGGCCTCTCCGCTGTCGCTGAGGGGAGGGGAAGGTCTTTGATATGGGTTTGTCTCTTTCACCTTTCATTTCTGTCCGTCTGTGCTTCATGGTTAGCTTCAGTTTTGTGTGTGTTTGTTTCTTAAATATATTTTTACTGATGTCAAAGAGGAAGGGAGAGGGAGAGAGATAGAAACACCAGTGATAGAGAGTATTACTAATTGGCTGCCTCCTACATGCCCTCTACTGGGGATGTGCCCGCAACCAAGGTACATGCCCGACTGGAATCGAACCTGGGACCCTTCAATTTGCAGGCTGATGCTCTGTCCACTGAGCTAAACCAGCTAGGGCTAGCCTCAGTTTTTTAATCTGAAAAATGGGCATGCCTCCTAGGGTTGTTGCATGGACTAAAGGGCGTCATCATAACAGCTAACGCCTGCCAGCTTGGCTAGTGCCAGGTGCTGTGAGCCTTCCTTCACTGCCTCCTGCCGGCCCTGAAGGAGGAGTCGTGGCCAGGTCTGCGGAGGGCCGGGGGCATGCCTCAGCTTACGGAGTCCAGCTGGGGCCGTCTGGGGCCAACCTGGCTTCAGGTCCGCTCTCTGCCTGCCTCGCTGGGTTCCGAGGGCGGTGCGTTTGCTCTGGAATGTGCAGCAGGCTGTGGCCAGTGGACATGCTTTTCAGAATATCACATGTTGACACATGTCTATCTAGTTTATGCTAAATTCTGTCTCTGAGCTGTGTTAGGAATGGGCCACAGCGTCTTATCCATTCTTCGTAGATGGACACATTTTCACTGCGAGTGTGCGACCTGAGATCTTTGCTCACGCACGGGCCTGTGCGTGCGAGTCTCCATGGCCACGTGGGAGTGTCTCTGTGGCTACCTTTGCGGCTCAGCCTCCTCACACGCAGGACTGTCCGTACTCAGTCAGAGAAGGGGCATGTCGGGTTGTGGAATGCCAGGAGGCTCTGCATCTCTCTCCCCACGGCGGCCCCGGCCCCTCGGTGCTCTGGGCCTCTGGCCTCTGCAGGCCCAGCCCCGCGGTCACTCCCCTCCCGGCAGCAGCACCTGCACACGCTCCCTGTGCTCCCGGAGCCCGAGGCCGGCACAGCTGACTGGATTCGGCTCTTTATCTCGGGGCGATGAGCGCGCCCTGTAGCAGCCTGGGACGCGGTGTGCCGAGCCCCCGCGTTCCGGGCGGCTGCTCCGGGCGGGGCGGGGGCGGCTGCTCGCTGACGCCCTGTCCCTGCAGGCAGACCTCTGCGTGATGACCCGATTGCTGGGCTACGTGGACCCCTGGGAGCCCTGCTTTGTGGCCGCCGTCCTTGCCATCGTCTTCAACCCGCTCTTCTGGAATGTGGTAAGCGCGCTGCGCCCCCGCCTGGCGGGGCAGTCGGTCTTCCTCTTCCCAGGAGGTGGCATCCAGTTAGGGGACGTGGGCCAGGGAGGCCCCTCGCCCTGGCCATCCCACCAGGCCTTGGCATTGCCAGACAGCCCCGGCGGCTGCTAGAACGGCCGGCAGCAGTGCCCAGGGCGCTGCCCACTCTCCTGGTGGCGTCACGAGGTGCTCAGTGGTGGGGTGGCGGCTCGGTGTAGGTTTCTTCCCTCTCCCCTCTCACGCACCGCACACGTTAGCTTTCCGAAAGGAGCCTCCTGCACAAGGGTCCGCACACTGCTGGCTGGAGGCAGCCAGGAGCAGGAATGAGCCTCTGAGGACTGAGGAGGGAGGCGGCGCCACTCGCCAGAGGGGCAGGCACACAGGGAGGGGAGAGGGCTGGGCAGTGGCGTGGGCGGTGGCCCCGGCCTTGGAGGAAGCCTCCTGCCATAGCCTTTCCCTGGCCCAAGGTGGGGGCAGTGCTTGGAGCTTGGGGTCAGGCTCTCCCAGGGCACCATCCCGGAGAGATGGAAGAGGGCAGTGTTTGGGGCTGGGAGCTGCGCTAGAGTCCCAGGGCCGTGGGGTCCCGGGGATGCGGGGTCCTGGGGGAGGGGGCTGTGGGGTCCCGGGGCTGCGGCGTCCAGGGGGGGAGGGCTGTGGGGTCCCGAGGATGCAGGGTCCTGGGGCTGTGGGGTCCCTGGGCTGGGTGGTCTTGGGCCTGTGGGGTCCCTGGGCTGGGGGGGTCCCGGGGCTGTGGGGTCCCGGGGCTGTGGGGTCCCGGGGCTGCGGGGTCCCGGGGCTGTGGGGTCCCGGGGCTGTGGGGTCCCGGGGCTGTGGGGTCCCGGGAATGCGGGGTCCCGGGGGAGGGGGCTGCGGGGTCCCGGGGCTGCGGGGTCCCGGGGCTGCGGGGTCCCGGGGCTGCGGGGTCCCGGGGCTGCGGGGTCCCGGGGCTGCGGGGTCCCGGGGATGCGGGGTCCCGGGGATGCGGGGTCCCGGGGATGCGGGGTCCCGGGGATGCGGGGTCCCGGGGCTGTGGGGTCCCGGGGATGCGGGGTCCCGAGGATGCGGGGTCCCGGGGATGCGGGGTCCCGGGGCTGTGGGGTCCCGGGGATGCGGGGTCCCGGGGGGGCTGGGTCTGGGTTTGCTGACGCAGAGCCCAAGCCGCTGTGTCTCCCTCAAGTGTAGCTCAGTGTTAGCAACAGCCTGTTCCCGATGTTTCCGTTCCAGGTGGGCACCGGTCCCAGGGCAGAGCAGGACATGTTCCTGAGTCAGGCCTTCACCCCCCGGACACCGGGGCGGGGAGGCTGCGCGCCTTGAAGGGCTGCGCTGGGAATGCCCTGTTCCTTGTCCTGAACGCCCTGTGCCGCCTGAGGCCGCTGCCCGGAGGCGCAGCTGAGGGAGGCAGCTCAGAGGGCCAGAGGGCCGGAGCTTGCTGCAGGCCTCCCGGAGGCGCCTCCCCCTCCCCTGCCCTGGCCCTGACCTGCTGGGCTCCCCACAGGAGCGGTTGGCCAGTGGGCAGTGCGTGCGGCGCCCGGCCCCCTCCCTCTGCTCCCTGCGCCCCCTCGCCTCCCGCCCCACTCAGCTCTGGCAGCAGATAGGGAGGGGGCGGGTGCGCGCTGACCACCCCGCATCTGTCCAGCCTCGCAGGACCCTGTGACGGCTCTGTGCCCGAAAGGTGGGGTGCTCTGAGGGTGCGACCGAGTGGGCTTCTTGAGATGGCAGAGTCCTGGGCTTTGGGGTGTCCTACCCGCAGTGAGGGGTAGCCGGTGAGCGGAGACAGGGCAGGGCAGGGCTGGCTCCGAAGAGCAGGGTGCGGCCAGCACCCTCAGCGCGGGGAGGTCAGGGAGGGCTCTTCCTGGGTTGCGGCCGACGGCAGCTCTGGAGCCAGGTCCGTGAGTCCCGTGCCGGGTGCCAGCCTGTGGGTCTGTTAGCAGCGCAGGAAGCAGCGGTGCCAGCCTGTGGGTCTGTTAGCAGCGCAGGAAGCAGCAGTGCCAGCCTGTGGGTCTGTTAGCAGCGCAGGAAGCAGCGGTGCTGGGCCTGTGGGTCTGTTAGCAGCGCAGGAAGCAGCAGGAGAGGGGCCTGTGGGTCTGTTAGCAGTGCAGGAAGCAGCGGGTGCCAGCCTGTGGGGCTGTTAGCAGTGCAGGAAGCAGCGGTGCCAGCCTGTGGGGCTGTTAGCAGCGCAGGAAGCAGCGGGAGAGGGGCCTGTGGGGCTGTTAGCAGCGCAGGAAGCAGCAGTGCCAGCCTGTGGGGCTGTTAGCAGCGCAGGAAGCAGCGGGAGAGGGGCCTGTGGGGCTGTTAGCAGCGCAGGAAGCAGCAGTGCCAGCCTGTGGGGCTGTTAGCAGTGTAGGAAGCAGCGGGTGCGAAACGGCTGTGGCTCCCGGTGTGGACATCGTGGTCTTTCGGCCTTCCCCACAAGCCTGGCTTTGACCGGTGGTCACGCCGGTTCTCCTGGCGCTCGGGCTGGGCCGGACCAGTCCCCAGCGCCCTGAGGACATGGCGTCACGCACAGACCTTTCCACAGCATGTGCTGGGGGGTCATTCTGAAGCCACACGGTGCCGGGTGTCACGGAGCGAGAGGTCTGGGTGGGCGGGCAGGAGCCATGGGTGTGGGTGGGTGGGCAGGAGGCACTGGTGGGGGTGGGCGGGCAGGAGCCATGGGTGTTGGTTGGTGGGCAGGAGCCATGGGTGTGGGTGGGTGGGCAGGAGGCACTGGTGGGGGTGGGCAGGCAGGAGCCATGGGTGTGGGTGGGTGGGCAGGAGGCACTGGTGGGGGTGGGTGGGCAGGAGCCATGGGTGTTGGTTGGTGGGCAGGAGCCATGGGTGTGGGTGGGTGGGCAGGAGGCACTGGTGGGGGTGGGCGGGCAGGAGCCATGGGTGTGGGTGGGTGGGCAGGAGGCACTGGTGGGGGTGGGCGGGCAGGAGCCATGGGTGTTGGTTGGTGGGCAGGAGCCATGGGTGTGGGTGGGTGGGCAGGAGGCACTGGTGGGGGTGGGCAGGCAGGAGCCATGGGTCTGAGTGGGCAGACCAGCTCTGGGTGGGGGCACGAGAATCCCAGCCCTGAGCAGAGGGCACAGTGAACCCAGGTGGGCAGGGACAGGTCCTGCGCTAACCAGGCACTGGGCGGGCCGGGTGCTGTGCTGGTGCGTGTCACGTGGTGGTTCACAGTGAGGGCCTCAGACCTCCGTCACCTCATTCAGCCGCTTCCTGAGCTCATTGTCCTGAACGCAGGAGCGCGTGGCCCGGCCCGGCCTGGCTCACAGCAGCGAGGCGGGGAGATGGGAGGACTGGCGGGGGTGAGCTTGGAGCAGGAACCTGCCCTCTGAGGGAGGGAGCCCTCGCGTATCTGGGGGAGAGAATCAGCAAGTGGGAGAGTCCTGACCAGCAGGGGGATGATGGGGGACAACGCAGCAGACCGGGCGGCGTGGGTCGGGGCTGGCAGCGGCCGGATGAGCAGGGCTTATGTGGGGGCTCCTGGGAGAGCAGGCCCTCCCTGCCCCCTGCACCCCCTGCTTTCCTGCTCCCTGGCTGCTGCCATTCAGGCTCCAGCCCGGGCGCGGGGCCGCGTGGAGCTCCAGGCTCTGTTCGCTCCTTGTCCGCCCCACGTCGGCCCTCACAGTCCGCCTGCTGCACATGGGCCACCGCGTCACCTCTCGCCCAGCCGCACATTGGGAACGGCGGCATCGGTCCCCGCGGGTGCCGCTCAGAGGCCGCCTGGTCCAGGGGAGTGTACGCTCTGGCCTGCCTGAGAGGCCCCCTGCGGCACCCCTGGGTGACTCACCCTCTCCCCCAGGGCTCCCCGAACTCCTGCCGTCCTGCTCCCACGCTGGCGATGCCATGCTGGGCTCCAGCGTTACCAGGTCCTGAGGGCGCAGTCGCCTGGTGTGAGGGAGGCAGCTGTGTGCCCTCCACTTTGGGCCCTCCGACCCAGCCGTGTGCGCAGCCCTGTGGTGGAGCCAGGCCCTGCTTCCCAGGCGGGCGGGGGGTGGGGGGCAGTGTTTAGAGGCGCCCTGGAGCGGTCGCTCGCACACCTGATGCGCAGGGAGGGCCTGGGCTGAAGCACCGGCGCTGCTCACGCCTTCAGCAGAGATGAGTGGCGGCTCCGTGCCCTGGGGAGCCCCGCCCCCCCCCACGCCCTGGCGGAGCCCTGAAGCTCCCTCTGTCACATGCCAGCCAGCCCCGACGTGGACGTAGCTGTCCATTGTTCACAAAAGAAACTGTGTGTGGTGCCGTGACTGTCATTGCAGGCCAATTGCTTGTCCTGGCATCCAGGCTGGTTGCGGCATTGAGCGTTCGGAGCCGGCTACACCTGGGGTTCACGAACAGTGACCTATCCTCACTCTTCCACAGGGGACCCGGGAGCGTGCAGGGGTTCCAGCAGCCCCCAGGACAGTTTAGGGGGGACAGGCCTGGCAGTGGGTTCCTTGGCGTTGAGGGTGCTTCTGAGGCTGTTTCCTGGGCCCAGCCTGGCCGACTGTCCTCGCCCCCAGCGCACCTGCTTGAGACCCAGGGGCAGTGTGTGGCCCATGACGCCCACAGCCACCCGCAGGCCCTCTCTGAGGGGTGCACAGCCGGACTCGGGCAGCCGTGTGCTCAGCGAGGGCATGTGGCTAATGAGTTGGCCCCCGCGCAGGCCCTGCAGCAGCTGGAGGCCCACAGGCCTGGCTCGCTCCCCGGGGGGTGACTAGGGGGATGAGGCCCCCCCGGTGAGATTGGGAGGAGGCAGCTCTTTCTCCAGGAAGTGCCTGGCCGGGGCAGGGGGTCCGAGGCAGAGTGAGCGTGATCTTGCAGACACTGGTGGCCCCCTCTGCGTCTGAGTTCCTGGCTGCAGGCTCTGCAAGGAGCCAGGCAGCAGGACAGTAGGTGGCGCTGTGGGCGAGGCGAGGCTTCCCCTCCACTCCCAGGCCCAGCCTGCCCTGCACACACCTGCACTGGCCGTGCTGCCTTAGTTTCCGTTTTCAGGTGCACAGCCAGCAATCCATGGGCTC